CTCAGCCCACCCCGCCCAGCTCCACCCCGCCCGGCTCCGCCCCACTCACCTCCACCCCGCCCGGCTCCGCCCCGCCCAGCTCCACCCCGCCCGGCTCCGCCCCACTCACCTCCACCCCGCTCGGCTCCGCCCGCCCAGCTCCACCCCGCCCAGCTCCGCCCCCCCCCGCTCCACCCCACCCGGCTCCGCCCCCACTCACCTCCAGCCCGCCCGGCTCCGCCCCCACTCACCTCAACCCCGCCCAGCTGCGCCCCGCCTGGCTCTGCCCCCGGCTCTGCCCCGCCCGGCCACACAGGCATAATGTGCATCTTTAGATTATGGAGAGCAGGGGACGTCTCCATATTCCATTCTACCTGAAGGTGAAAAAAGGCTTCAGATGGAGATGGGACAATCAAGCAGCCGTCAGCAGCCCAGACAGTAATCAGCAGCATGATGGAGAAATCACAGCGCTGTCAACAGGTGTGAGAGATACGAAGCACTGCGCTCGAGAGGCCATCAGACGCCCCTCCAAAATCACAACACTCTCATTACTGCCTTTCACAGGCATCCTCCAGCTGCGTCAGGACCCTGATTACCACTGAGGGGCGGAGAGCGCAATCACGCCCCCTCCCACAGGGCCCGAATCGCCCCGCGGATCCCAAGAGTCGCCATCCCTCCCACAGCAATCAGAGATGCGTGATAATGACAGATACACAGCCCTGAGTGAAACTGACAGACACACAGCCTGTGTGAAACTGACAGACACACAGCCCTGAGTGAAACTGACAGACACACAGCCTGAGTGAAATTGACAGACACACAGCCTGTGTGAAACTGACAGACACACAGCCCTGAGTGAAACTGACAGACACACAGCCTGTGTGAAACTGACAGACACACAGCCTGTGTCGAGAGGGCGATTACACACTCAGCAGAGCTATAGTGCTGTGCCACATCTCCTGCTGGGGATCTGTCACTCACAGTGAAGGGGTGGAGCTGCTACTAAATGGGCGGGGCTTCTGTGAAGATTCCCACCCTGCCTGTCACTGTAACTGCACACTCCCCCTGCTCTTAGTAACACCCCTAAGCGCACACCCTCTGTGTACTCTAGAATCTGCCTTTATTCTGTAGCCCATATTAAGGGGTGGGGACTCACAGCTCCTGCTGAACAGAGGGGGAGCTCACTTGGGTAAAGCAGGCAGTCATTCTGCAGTGCCTGCACCTCACTGCGGCTCCTCGGTGGAGAAGCGCAGCTGGAGTTTCACAGAAACAGAGGGAGGCTTGCTCACTCACAGCTCAGCTTGGAAAGTGGCAGCTAATCGCTGTGAGGGAGTCTGTGCAGCTGCTCAGAGGGCTTCCCGAGCCAGACCAAGCCTGTCACCGGCCGCTGGGATGAGAAACAGCCCCTGCCTTCTGTCTGTGCGCACGACTTCACGCACTTCTGACACTCTCCTCCTAGAGGGGGAGAGAAACAGCTTTCAGCACATGTTCAAACCCAGATATGAGTAGCAGCACATCCCCTGTTCCTCCACCAGAGAGAGCGGGGGGGAGCATCTCAGAGGGTCTGTTTCTGAATAACGAAAGGACAGCTTTTACCCCTCTGCATTCTCTAACAGGAACACAAGCCTATAGCTCTTCACCTGTACATACACCTGCACAGCTGCAACAGAGACAGAAGTTCCTTTACACAGCCAAACACACACACACACACACACATACACACACACACACACACATGCACACACATACACACACATACACACACACATGCACACACACACACACACACACACACACACACACACACACACACACACTCACATACACACACATGCGCACACACACACACAGACATACACACACATGCGCGCACACACACACACACACACATACACACACATGCGCACACACACACACACACACACACACACACACACACATGCGCACACACACACACACATACACACACATGCGCACACACACACACACACATACACACACACACACACACACACACACACACACACACATACACACACATGCGCACACACACACACACACACACACACACACACACACACACACACACATGCACACACACACACACACACACACACACACACGCGCACACACACACACACACACACACACAAAGATCTGACCTCATCACCTCATCTCGGGCTGATCAATGAGCCAAAGCTCTTAACCAGCTCATGAAAAGATGTTTCACAAATAACTGCTATCGATCAGCTCACTCTGCCTGCTGCTACATGTCCCACTGTCTGTGCTAATTACAACCAGCAGTTACAGTCACAGCGGCTACATCCCCGTTCCCTGTCCACAGCAATCACTCCAGCGTCCAGCTGCAATCGATGAGCCAATCAGCACTAAGCAGCTCTGCCATCACCCACGACAGTGCGGAACGTCAGCAGAGAGCCAGATCACAGAGCAAAACCGGGAAAAACCGCAAAGTATTTACAAACATGAAGGATAAGAGAAGGAAACTGCGGGAATGTCCATCAGGAATGACACAGGCCCCACTCTGCAGGGAGAGATAGGGAAAGGCCTGTGGGTCAGACTGCAGGATTTCACTCCTGTCTTCTCTCTCCTCTGCAGGGTGATTACTTTCTCTTTTCTGTATTTCTTTCTTTTCTTGGTTTATTATTCTGTTCTTCAGCACTGAGGGGACTTCTCTCCAGTCTCCCACACTTTACACCCTGGGATCAGATTCTCTGAGCTCAGACCTCTGTGATCCTCTGTGATCCTCTGTGATCCTCTGTGTCTCAGACAGCTTGCCCTCACAGATTACAGGCAGAACCCTGGAAACACGGCCGTACGGTATGAGCTTCAACCACAGCACATTGAAATTGGGGATCTTTGTGTTATATAAAGTTTTATAAAGCACGTATTGGAAAATCGATTTTAATTTCACCATGCAAATGAGAACAGTGTCCTTTCCCATCTTATACACTATCACTTCAAGTTTCTGTGGGCTGAGATATGCAGATGAGTGCTGATTAGAATAATTTAATCACAGTGGAAAGTTAGACCTGTGTGCTGAATCTGTTAACAAGAAACTGAATCTGAAACTCTGGGCTGATGGCGGGGCGATGCCGCTAAGCGCTAACGAGAGCCTTCCCCTGTCACGGCCCTGCCCCACCCCCACGGAGACTCGGGCGGCTGAGGGTCAGGGAGAATGTGTCATTAAAGGAGAGGAGTGCTGAGAATGTGACCATCTCTCTGTTTCCATGGAATTAAATGCAAATGTGAGGAGGTAGAGCTGATTGAGCTCTCCACACTGTCCCCCGATCCGAGCCAAGCAGAGACAGTGACGCAAATACCGCAGAAATCCTTTGTCGATTTAACTTCTATTCAACCAGGAAGGTCAACGAAGAGGTGATGACCTGGGGTAACAGGGCCAGCAGTTAACACATGCGATTCAACAGAGAACCCATCAGCTGTAGTGTGTGATTAAGAGGCTGGAATGGGGATTTTTCCGGGACAGCAAGGTTAATGTCTCTGCTGTTCTGATAAGCGGCAGGGGATCTTTATTGGCCACAGTGAGCCAGAACCACAGTTTAACATCACAGTCAAAAGGTGGCACCTTGTACAGCACAGTATCCGCATCACTGTGCTGGGACATTGGATAAACTCAATCCAGTGGGTACACTGCCTCCTACTGGCCCACCAACATCTCTTCCAGCAGGAAACTGGTTTCCTTGTGAGGTCTCCACCCCAAGCACTAACTAAGCCTTGGAATGTGCCATCAGTCAGATGGTGACAGGTTTATTCTAGAGATTTATGAGTCCTGTGTTGTGACACTTTAATGCTGCCATTTCAGAGCATAACTGAATATCACAAATGTTATGGATATTAGTTTGTACTAAGCCCTTGCACAGGGAAGATATGCAATACAGTGCTTGTTGATTCACTGGCGAATGGTTTGTGGCTCCCGGGTTGGGGGTGGGGGGTGAGGGCGGTATCACTGCGCTGAATGTGAGTAATTACTGTTAGCACAGCGTCGCTGAGCATGAGAGACAGCCGCATGAGTGACAGCTCGCCCTGTCAATCACCCCCCATCTCTCTGTCAGGAGTCTTCATGAGAGACGTCCCCATAAATATTCACGAGAGGCGCACTGTTCCCAAAACCCCCAAACCGCCCGCACGGCGGACACGCACACCCCCCTCTGCGTGCGGAGAGACAGGCGTGTGGAGGCGCGCTGTAATCACTACCCATCCAGCTTACCCTCACACACACACACACACACACACACACACACACACACACACACACCTCACACACACGCACACACACACACACACACACACACACACACACACCCACACACACACACACAATCACACACAATCACACCTCACACACCTCACACACACACACACACACACCACACACACACCTCACACACACACACACACACATGCACACACACACACACACACACACACACATCACTCTTGGCACCCTGACGCTATCAGCACAGTCCGCTCCATGGATTTATATTTAACAAATCCGCTCCTTTAATGCAATAGGACTTAAATAGATTGATATTGTCATTCATGAAATTCAGCTCTTTACCTTGTTCCATTAACACTTTGAACAGATAATATGGACGGGCAGAGGATCGAAAGAACATGGGAACATATAAAGTTTAATGAGAAGAGGTAATTCAGCCCAGCTTCGTCTGTGGTCTTATTTTCCATGTGCCTCAGTCAGCATTGCATTCCACTGCTGAAGTCTGTTCTGATCTGTCAATATCAGCATCCTTTATACTGTCATTATTACCAATGGCAGCATGATACACACAGCACCGCATAACCTCTGAGCCGTGCACAGGTGTAAGAGCTGGAACTGTCCATTACATTATTACATTACTGGCATTTAGCAGATTCTCTTATTCAGAGTGACTTACATAGTTTACAAGTTTTTACATGTTACCCATTCATACAGCTGGATATTTACTGAAGCAATTCTGGGTTAACTACCCTGCCCAAGGGTAGAGCAGCAGTGGAGAATCGAACTGGCAACCTCTCTGTTATGAGTCCTGCTCCTTACCACTATGCTACACTGCCGCCCCTATATTAGTTTGAGAGCTGGTTAAAATCAGAGTGGGAACCTCCACTGAATGATGCTCATGTCTGAGTTCCTTTTTGGGAAATTAAATAGAAAGGAAATACTTTTATGAGTCTGCTGTTTTTAAAACAATAGTAATTCACTCTCAAAAGGCATTACAAAGGCAAGAGATGGAGGAATGCTCTTTTAAAATTCCTTTCTGAAAAAAGATTTCTCCTTTCATTTAAGAAAGGTGCTCTGATGTTGAAAATAGCAGCAGTCCTTTCATGTGTCCCGGCTGAGAGTGAACCTCACCTGGGGAGTATCGCACCTTTGCTTTTTTCTGGCCAGTGATGCATCTCTCCTCTGTGAAGCCGGAGCGCGGTCTCTGGGGCTGGCACAGGTGCGTCTCTGGGAAGTGACTCATCAATTGCAGCACTCTCTGCACAACCTGTTCACACACCAAACCAGGAGCGGAGCTTTTTAGGGAAAAGCCGAATGAGGTCCATATCATTCATCACCGAATCTTCAGAAGCTGTGAAATGACTGACTGCATCACCTGCTGTCTGACTTACCAAAGCAGGAAGAAGAGAGATCATTTCTAATGTAGCACTGACTTACCGTGTGTATGTGTGTGTTTTCTAAGAGATAGTGTGTTGCACAGTGAGACAGTGTCTTAAATCAGTTCTAATCACTTACAGGGAACAGAGTGAGAGCTCACAGGGAACAGAGTGAGAGCTCACAGGGAACAGAGTGAGCTCACAGGGTACAGTCAGGATGAGAGCTCACAGGGAACAGTCAGGATGAGAGCTCACAGGGAACAGAGTGAGAGCTCACCGGGAACAGAGTGAGAGCTCACAGGGAACAGCGTGAGTGAGAGCTCACAGGGTACAATCAGAGTGAGAGCTCACAGGGAACAGAGTGAGAGTTCACAGGGAACAGAGTGAGAGCTCACAGGGTACAATCAGAGTGAGAGCTCACAGGGAACAGAGTGAGAGCTCACAGGGAACAGAGTGAGAGCTCACAGGGAACAGCATGAGTGAGAGCTCACAGGGTACAGCCAGAGTGAGAGCTCACAGGGAACAGAGTGAGAGTTCACAGGGAACAGAGTGAGAGCTCACAGGGTACAATCAGAGTGAGAGCTCACAGGGAACAGAGTGAGAGCTCACAGGGAACAGAGTGAGAGCTCACAGGGTACAATCAGAGTGAAAGCTCACAGGGTACAATCAGAGTGAGAGCTCACAGGGAACAGAGTGAGAGCTCACAGGGAACAGAGTGAGCTCACAGGGTACAATCAGAATGAGAGCTCACAGGGTACAATCAGAGTGAGAGCTCACCAGGAACTGAGTGAGAGCTCACAGGGAACAGAGTGAGAGCTCACAGGGAGAATAATGTTCTCCATGGTTCAGAATAATGAACTGTAAAATGATGAACACAAATTACTATCAGAACCAATCACCCAGGGGCATCATTATCAGAGACAAACTGGAAAATGCAAGCTAACTTTGACTCTATCTCACGATACCACAGGGTTTCAGATCTCGAAACACACATCAGTGCATATGCTACTCCTCTGTATTGTCATATGAGCCAAACGCTAATTTAGCTTCTTACTAAAACCCTGAGCACTTTGCACCCCCTGGGCTCATGGTGTTGAACAGTGCCCCTAGTGGTTGCAAAGGTGTAATACAGGCTGATGCTCTCAGCCACTGTGACTCCGCCCATCGCTGGCTGCATGCTGAGCGAACGTGACTCAACCGCAGGTGCCTCTGCAGGTGCGTCCCCACCAGGTGTTTACATCGAGTGCATGACCCTGCTGCTCTCAACAGCCAAATGCAAACGGCCTCTCATCTCCCGACAGAACAGTATTCAGCACGGCTCACTTTCCTGAGCAAAGATCTGAAGCGCCTGAAAGAGCCCCAGAGAAGGCACAAGGATGCCAGGTCAGCTCTCTCCCAAAACTCCTGATTCTCGCTGTTGTGAGCAGAGGACTCTCCATGAGCCGGAGCAGAGAGGCAGCTTCTTCAGTGTTACTCTTCTGTAAACCCCCTCTGACAGACAGCACCTGCATCTAGAGCTGGGCTGCCATCACCTCCTCCTGAATGCTCTTATCTGTCTTGGCCAGTGGAGGCGTGGACCGCAGAGCTGTCCCCTGGGGAAATTCAGAGAAGCAGCCAGACACACGAGTGAGGACAGGAGAGCGATCTCACCGCACAGAGAGACAGGCAGAGAGACGGGCCAGAGCAGACAGAAGCACACATTTACTAATATGATTGCCATGGGTGTTTTTCCCCTTTTTCTGCTAAGAAATAATTAACATAAACTTGCTGAAGATGCTCCGGGTTTGGGTATCGGTGTTCTCTGGTCCCTGTGAGGGCAGAGTTGGCAGGTGCCAGGTGAGATTGAAAGGAGAACTGCTATTCTCGCTGCTTAAGGGGGAAGAGACCAAAACTCCCCCCCTTCTGACAGCATCTCAACCCATCTGCTCACCGTTCCTCACCTTAAATTCTCTTTACTTCTCTGTCTTGTGAAAATAGTAGCAAACTTACTTTGTGCTTTGCTTCCAGTCCTCTGAAGGCCTGGAAATAAAGGTTTCAGAGATTTTCCCTTTGTTTTATGTGTGTGCAGCTGTCTTTCTCCAGTGACTGATACCCACCTGGAAACTGAAGTAATAGGAGTCACCTGAGGTATCTGCCATCACTTCAAAAACCAAAGAGCTGGAGCAGGAGCTGTGTTCGTTTCTGTGAGAGGAAGAGCTCACAGTGAACTCCAGAGGAGAGCGGACACCTGGCCACAGAATGACATCATCAGAAACATCTGGTTAGCAACATTTTCAATCTCAAAATCTTTGAAAATGATTCTGGCTGCAATCATGAGTTATACATTCTTACAGTGTCTTCTGACCAGCTACCCCTGAGCTCAAAAACAACCGAGGAAACCGTCTGTGAAAGGAAAAGCGAGTGCGACACACCACCACAGAGCTGAAATAACAACGGCCATGTCATTCAATCAGGCAACGTGATGATCAGATAGAAAAATGTGAGGTAATACTTAATATTGTGGATGCCAATAAATGTCAAGGTATCAAAAGTAATGCAAATTTATGTATCGCATTTTGGAATAATCTCTTCATTACATCTTTGAAATACAGTTTTTGAAATCAACATGAAATATGCCAATTTAGCTAACAACGTAACTTGCTACTTAGCCAGGTGTGCTGTCTTAAATAGTACTGTTCATCACTGAGGAATTAAAGATGCTGTGAAACTGCTTAACTGAATCCAGCCTTTGATTTGTAACGTTTAATTCCTCAGGGTATACTGCAGTAGTGTTTGTTTTAGATGCATCCTTCTGTTATAATGTCAGCCAGCTGAAAAGGTCTGGGGCCAAGAACATTGTTCAATAAACAATGAATTATTATTCTACACAACTAACTACAATTAATATAACATCTTACTTAAGTATTAAATGTTACACCCTTTATCATTATAAGGTGTTCAGTAGTGTTTGTATAATTGATTCCTTAATACTGCTATGTAATCTCCCGGTTTTATTGTATCTTTTAATACAGTTTTAACATGCTGATAAAAAAACCTTTGTTTGGCCACTCTCTGTCTGTCTCATTTCATTTGCTAAACTTCTCATTGATATTTTGTAATCATAATTTTGGTTTAGAATATAGATAGATGGAAAAGTTATTATCACAATGCCATTTTTTTAAATGAGGGTGGGGGTTACCCTCCCAGCATTGCCATGCACGCACACACACACACACACACACACACACACACACACACACACACACACACACACACACACAAACACACACACACACACAAAGTATGTCTGTGAAAACATTGTTATTCCCATGCAGAAGTGTAATACTGTATTCATAATAATATTCACATGTACAACAAAGGAACTCAACAAACTATTTTTGCTCCTCTTGGATTACAGCTGACATTGAAATAAGTGGAGTATTATAACACACACACGCACTGGGAGTTTAGGCTGCTGTTGAAGCTATGCAGGAAGACAGTGCTGATTATTAGAGACTCACAGGCATTCTTTAAGCAATGATAGGGTGTGAGTAATAAGTAATTATCTCAAAGTCTGCCTGCACTGATGGCATAATTCTAATGAAATCTAACTAATTAATGTTTCAAGCTTCTGCTGTGTAGACACCATTAAGACATTGGTTTTGGGAAAATATCTGCAATTAACCAGACATATAAGGGACACACTCATAAGAAAGTTTGACAACATTGTGCCAAGGTCCAATTGTGTTTTCCATGAAGCAATGGCATTTCTGAATGCAATCCTATTATAAGCCCAGCTGGCAGGACCAGATGCCCGCAGCCCAGTCCTGGAAAGCCAGGAAATGACATCAGCTGCGATGGAACTTGAACGTTCAGAAACAGATTGTCTCTGCAGAAGTGAAACAGACAGAGTGAAAGTGATGGGATACGGCCCCCAGCGCAGGGGATATGTCTCTGTGATTCACAGACCCAGCAGCTCAGTCTGTAAACTCACATGCGTCTCCCTGACAGCGTGAGGCAGGGATGAGACGCAAACGTTGAGTAATCCCCTGTGTGCCCCCCACCCCCAACACTGCACTGTTGCTGCCATCAACAGCCTCATTAACCCCCCCAGGCTGAGGCAATGCTTCTGTTTTCCACTCACTGAAGGGGTCTGAACGGGAAGCTTTTTGGATTTATGGACATACATAAAGCCATACAGGCGTATCCAGTAAACCAGCAGCAGGGAGGATGGGGGCCGCCAAGCGCTGCGTTGCAAAGACACTTTTCCTCTTGATACGGCAACAGCAGGTGGGATCAAATTGCAGGGCTGAAAGTGGGAGTATGATCAACTGAGTAGCACCTTCCTTCCTGACATGCCTGTTGTGATTAAACGCAGTTGTGGTTGCGCACACATCACCGAACATATGAATTTATTGATAATTATCAGAGTTCTGAGGAAAGCAGGGCGGCAGCTTCGCCTCCCTGTGATTGACACATGG